TATCTTCCTCATTGACAAAGCGTCATACCTCAAGATAGAGGGGTCCTAATATCCGTATAAAATGTGACCTTACAAGTTTTTCAAGTTAGATAGTGTGAATATTGATGTCAGATGTTTTTCTCAGACTGTGTCCTGGCTTGGAGCGGAGTGCTCTCTGTTGGAAGACTGTTTTCAGACCGTCTCTGAACCCACAGACCTGAAAAATCTACTGCAGCACCACAAGAACCTGGGGCATTTAGACCAACATGGTAGGTCGCTTCTTTTGACAGCGTTTTTGTGAACCGTATAAGCTAAACTTTATGGTTCTGCTTTATTCCTTTTCTTGTAGTTCCACCTGCTAGTATGGGCGACAACATCTCTTCCTCACTTTCTGCCCTTCCCCCGAGGAGACTGGCGGAAACCAGCAAACAACCCGACCAGTCGGACCCACTTCAAGACCTCCACGTCGAAACACAACCTGCACCAGAAATAGCGGAAATAGTTACAGTTTCTGATTACTCTGAGGTTGAAATAGGTGCGAGCTCCAACGTTGAAGTGGTGACAGAAGAAAACTGCTTTGAAGGAAGAGAAGACACAGTAGGGGAATGTTCTCTGGTTGTGTATTTAGAAAAGACGAGCGAAGAAGAGCCAAAAAGAGAACCGACCGACCTTCCATCCTCTTCTCAACACAAAGCTGCCGCAGGACCGCATGACTGCCGCCACTGTGAGAAGAAATTTAAGTTTGCCTCCTCGCTGCTGGCACACAGCGTCATCCACACGGGAGAACGCCCCCACCGCTGCACCGACTGCGGCCGCTGCTTCTCCTTTAGGCAGTCCCTCGACAGACACAGACGGACACACAGAAAGGGACGCACGTATGACTGCGTGGACACAGCCTGCATGCCACACAGGCAAACACACACCGAAGATGGCGTGCACTCGTGCCATCTCTGCAACGTGGAATTTAGCTGTCAGCTGGCTCTCGCAAGTCACTTAAAGACTCACTCTGATGATGGCAACTCGGACAAACTCAAAGAAGGCTTAGAGGACGGGCCAGAAACCAACAAGGCTGTGGATGTCAACGAAGCGAGTGCTGAACACACAGATCCAGACTGTCCGGTGGAAACAGGCGACCGCCCATTCTCTGAATCCATACGAGAGAACGGTGTCAAACCACCGAATGTCCGCACAAGTGGACGCAAACGTCGACCCACAATGAAGATCCAGGCGATACATTTACAGATGCACATGGCCACTAATAAAAGGAACAAGTGCAGCAGGGCGAATCCCTCATCACTGAGACCTTTACCTATCGTCAGGTAAAATCACCTCTCCTTGGTGTTGATCTTTGATGTCCTTGATTTTACATTGCCACATTGGCACTTTTTAAAGTCCTATTAACTGTAGACTCTGAAAATTAATGATCATTATTCTTCTGTTTCAGTTCGGAGCACTCTTATGGATCACCTGTGGTCTCGAAGCAAGGTGGTGAAAGTGAGTGGCTATAAGAAATGCTGTTCTGGATTTTTTTCTTCATAACCATGAAAGTGAAGGTTTATGGAAGGTCTATGAAATTTGGCTTATGTAGCTTCCAGTAGTCACTTAGACAACCAGTTCCCTGACAAGATCTCATGTTCTAACTTGCCTTTACAGTCACACTACCAGTGTTACTGCGCTACTCTGCTGCTTTGCAAATTACTGAAGTGTTTCATTAGATGTAAAGTAAAATTCAATTAAGAGTGTCATCATTCTTCTGCTTACCAGCCTGTGTTGTAGGTCTAGAACATCCACATGGTGTGAAACACAAGATTGGTATTTGATACTCAAAAACAACTAAGCCTGCTAAAGGAAAATCTTATCTCCAGACAGATACTGAAATGTAAATGAGTACTAAATTAAGTTCAAATTGGTTTAATCTTGCTGTGTACTTAACTTGGTAGTTGTTGTTTAGGTTCTTGAGAACCTGTAAAAGCTACCTCTGATTGCAAGTTCTTGTCTTTAGTGAACAACGGAAAGTATTTGCTTGTATTTTTATGTAAACTCGTTGCTTTTTGTACCATCAGGTTCTCCAACAGATGCCTCAGTAGTTGCTTTCTCCTGTCCTGAGTGCTCCTTCCAGCACTCTGAGGAAGGGCAGGTCCTGCAGCACATCAATAAGGTTCACCCCACCGGTGCCACAGATCAACACAGACACATAAGCTGTGCAGATTGTGGGAAGGTCTTCAGGTTCCACTCTTTACTGAAAGCCCACCAGCGCGTGCACACAGGCGAGCAGCCGTTTTCATGCTCCCAGTGTGGACGGCAGTTCTCCTTCAAACAGTCACTGGAGAGGCATAAGCAGACACACTCATCCGGAAACAAGTTGTCGTGTCTGATCTGCGGGGACCTCTTCAAGTCGGCAACGGAACACGCAAGGCACAAGAGCAGCCACTTAGAGGATGGGGACTACCAGTGTTCAGAGTGCGGTCAGACGTTCAGCTGGAAGGCTGCATTGGTGAAGCACCTCAAGACCCACGGAGTGGACGCTGGCGAAGTGGAAGACTCGTTTAAGTGCTCTCACTGCAACCTGGGCTTTAGCTGTGAAAGACAGCTGAACAAGCACATCCTTACCCACAAAGAGGAAAAACCTCACAGCTGCAACTGTGGGAAGAGTTTTCCATACCGGGCAGCTCTCACCGCTCACCAACGGACGCACCAACGAGAGCGGCCACACATATGCACGCAGTGTGGGAAGGGCTTCCTCTATAAGGGCGGCTTGTTGAGCCACATGAAGATCCACTCTGAAGAAATGCCCTTCATGTGCTCGTTCTGCGGCAAGAGCTTCAAGAGGGAGCGCAACATGAAGAAACATGAGCGCTGCCACACCAGGGAAAACGTCTTCCGCTGCTCGCAGTGCGACAAGAGCTTTGTGTACAAGGCCACCTTGATCAGACACGAGCTGACGCATTCGGGCGAGAGGCCGTACCTTTGCTCTGACTGTGGCAAGGGTTTCTTCTCGCATGCAGAGCTCTTAAAGCACGAGCGCTTCCACACGGGCCACAAGCCATTCCAGTGTCCTCACTGCGGCAAGAAATTCACCCAGTCCTGCTACCTGACCATCCATCTGCGCTACCACACTGGGGCCCGGCCATACTCCTGCTCTGAATGCGACAAGAGCTTTCTGAGTGCCAACCGGCTGAAGAGACACCAGCGGACACACTCTGGAGAAAAACCGTATCCGTGTTTAGAGTGTGGAAAGGGTTTCAGGCAGTCTTATCATCTTAAAACGCATCTGAGGACACATCTGTCATAAATACACCTGCAGACTTGGTAGTATCACTGGGAAATGGTTGTGAAAGGTCTTAAATATAAATATCAATTGCAGTAGACTAACATCACTCATGATAAATTTCACTGAGTTTGTTCTGTGAAATTTTAAATCACCAATGTCACATATTTGTACCTCAAGGCAGGGCAACAACAGTAGGAAGGTCCTTAGTTCATTCCTTTAACATTTTACAAGGTTTAGATATATTTCTCAGCACAGTTTCTCTGAATCCTAGGTTCTCACACTGTGGTCTTCTAATCTGGTTTACAATAGAGCTAATTGTCTGTGTTGCAGAGCTAATAAAACCTACCTAAAAACACGAGTTCTGGCAGAAATGATTTCAACAGAATCCACTTGAAGAGTGAAAGTGTAGTTGAGAATGTTTGATGAAATCCAAGTTTTAATTTCACTATACAAAATCAAACCTTTTACAAGGGGTGTTGGTCATTTAGCTACCTCTGGACAGAAATCTGGGAAGAGTGTAAAAGCCCCACCCAACCATGCTCCTACTTCAGATTGAATAAGTTGGTGCAAAATATTTTGACTTTTCCGTTTGCTTTGTCTGTCAGGTCTTGAAACCTTTATATTAGTTGAAGTGGTACTTGGGAAAAGTTTGAGAACCAATATTCTGGATGATCTGTAGCATCCTAGGCTCCTTTCTCTGGTATCACTTTGGAAGAAGGTTTGCATTTAGGCTTGAGAAGTGTGGCCAGTTGGACAATTCTCTTAATGGAAGGCAAATGATTTTATTAAATCTGACGACATTTTCAGAGTTCACAGCATGACAGATCTTCCACCTTCCTTCCCAACACTTTCAACTCAGAAAATGCTTTGTCACAAAAGTCTTGTCCTTCATTATTAAAATTGTTTCACTTAGCAAACTCCTTACATTTACAAGTGCCAAGTAGTTCAAAAGAACCAACTGGCACTTAATAGGGCCTGGTAGGAATTCCTCCCCAAATGGTTTTTTACATTTATTTATTTTAAAGCTTTTGCCACATTGTTGCCAATTGTCCTGTAACCATGGCGTGAATCTAATGCAAGTCTATACGATCAGCCATTTCTTACAAGCAAGTCCTTTGCTACTAGGGATCCACCCATTTATCAGCACCAATTTCCTTAATTTCGGGAGATTGGTGAAGCCAAACTTATCCCCTCATCTTGTCTACTTCAACAAAGGTCTAAAAATAAACCACTGTCCTCTTTCTCCTGTGAAACAGGTTTCACTGACAGTCCAGCCACAAGGACATGTCTGCATTTAACAATAGTCATCCCACTGTTGCCAACTCAGCAACTTGTGTTTAGCAACATTTAAGATGAAAGTAATTGGTAATGGCAGATCTGACATTAAGATTGGCAATTGGCTGGAAAACTGCAATCGGTGCACCCCTATTTGTTACCAATAAAACCCATTGAGGTAAGAAAAGTGCAACTCAAAATCTGGAAATAAAGAGTCTTTATTTGAGAGTGTAAGCAAGTTTCACATAAAAAAATATAAGATACAAGAAGGGAGCTTAAACCATGTTAGGTTTCCTTTTACAGCAGTGGATCAGTAACAGAAACATCATGAAAATTAGCTTAACTGTGTGTTTAGTGTTGCATGTGTGCAGACCTTGGGTGTATATCAGATTTTATTAAAGTAGTTTGGGTAATCAGACATGATCTATGTTGTGGAACATTTAAAGAAAACTACTAAGCTACAGGGCAACTCTACTCTCCGACTTTCACACAATAGCTGATACAGTTGAGACAAGTTGGAACAAAAAAAAAAGACAGAGTAAAAGTTGGATTTTCATCAGATGTGCTGATTCACACAGCTATGTGGAGAGTGATGGGGCAGTGGTCGCTCCCCATCGCCTTGTTACGGATCTTACTATCGCACAGGCCTGGCAGCAGGGAAGACGAGAGCAGGAAATAGTCAAGCCGCCAGCCCACGTTCTTAGACCGGGCATTCATCATGTAGGTCCAGAAGGTGTAGGCGTTGGCCTGCTCCGGGTAAAGCTCACGGAAGCTGTCCACGAAGCCGGCCGCCAGCAGCTGGCTGAACCCTTCGCGCTCCTCCGGGGTGAAGCCCGCATTCTTCTTGTTGCCCTTCGGGTTCTTCAAGTCGATCTCCTGATGCGCAACGTTGAGATCGCCGCACAGCACCAGGGGCTTCTGGATGTCGAGCTCGCTCAGGTAAGCTCGGAAGTCTATGTCCCAGGTTTTACGGTAATCTAGGCGGACGAGGCCTCTGCTCGCGTTGGGGACATAGGCCGTCACGAGGTAGAAGTTTGGGAACTCGGCTGTGATGACGCGCCCCTCCTTATCATGCTCCTCTTTACCTGGAGAATTAGATTTAGTTTTTTTCAGTCATCGCTTCCAAAGTCCAGAAACATGCCAAACAGCAGTAGGTCCTGAGGACTAAAGCAGAAAACCACAGGTATAAACTAAGTATCAACACAACAACCCATTACTCACCAATACCATACGTGACTTTGAGAGGTTCAGTCTTGCACAGCATGGCTACACCACTGTAGCCCTCCTTGTCATTGGATGCAGCCCAGTATTTGTGGGGGTACTCGGGCATGGACGTGATCTCGGCAGGAAGGGCTTTCTCTGAACACTTTGTCTCTTGGAGGCACAGAACATCTGGCGCCTCGTCACGCACCCACTGGGAATGACAAGCATGATGATTAGCTTTTATTTAGTTTGGGTTTTTTTTTATAAGACTGAGTGAACTTTTATTGCAAACTCACATCCAGTCCGTTCTTTTTCACCCACGCCCTGAGCCCGTCTACGTTCCAGGAGGTGATCTTCATGTTGGCGCTACGGCCATCTTTGCTCGTCATTTTGACAGGGGGGTCTTCGTACAATACAGGGGCTTCTGGTTCCTTGGATTTCTTGGCTTTTTTTGCAGAAGCTGAAGGGAGATCATAAAGGGATTATATTGGATGGTGCATTTAGTGTTTTTTCCTCCCTCTGTTCATGAAATCTTTATTGGGAACTGCAATTTTTTGTTTTAGTACCAGAGCCTGTATCATTCTCCCCATCAGCAGACGCATCATCTGTCTTCTTGCCTCTCTTCATGTTGGAACTGGCTCTGCAAGCAAACACACCTCGCACACACACAGCACGCACACACAGCAGCACCCGCGCCGCTGGAGAAAAAAAAACAACTAAATGTTAAAAAATCAACTGAAAATAAAGCAAGACAATTCTAAAGTTCATCTATTTTCTAGTATAGTGTAGAATCACTGCAGTCAACGCTTTGCAAAATTCAGATCGGAAACCAAACTTCCAACCAGTGCATCTCCAATTTTGAATCCTATTACAAAAGCTAACAACATTTTTTGAGCAATTTGAGTAAATTTAAACTGTTCCAACTAGAGGTGCAGCAATCAGGTTTTTCCTGGCCAATGCTGATTACAGATTTTCGCTCAAGTTTTGACATGCTGACTCTGATTCTTTCCCTCAGGTAAAAAAAAAAAAAAAAAGATTATCAAACTGCATGTTCCTTCCTAACTTATGTTGGGAAAGCTTCACAATATTTTAAATCACTATCATCTCTGCAATTTCAATCAGTGTAACATAGATAACAAAAGATTGAGTATAATATTTAGCCAGCAGTAATAACTTAGGGTCCAAACTAAAACCAATTTGAGCATATTGACAAGACTTTCTCTGGTTTCTATACATTAAGCACATACATTTATACATTGAGTATAACTATGCTACAAATGAAAACAATAATAAGCAAGGAGCTAGTTTACTTTTATTGTTTTTATTCTTGTACGAGAATCCATCATCAATGTGATTGGAGACCATATTTGTGTAGTTTGACTATCATAAAAAGGAGATCTAAGTGTGTGCGCATGCTCTAGTTGGTAAAATACCTGTGGCAGTTTGAGGATTTGAGAAACACGAAACGTGGCTTGAAGCCTTAACAGACTGAGTCCTAAAATACAATACCGGAAACTCATGTTCGTGTGTCATTTGATTGTGATGAAGGGTAATGTCTGTGCAAATATCATGCCCGGTTAAAGATATGGCAGTAAAAAACTGTAACGGAAAGACGAAGTGGGGTACTAGGCTTTTCTCCGTGATAATTTGGTTCAGCTATTACCAACATGTGCTAAAGCTAGCTGTGGCTCTAACAAAGAAGCAGCAGGCGGCCTGCACAAGGAATGAATGACAGAGGAACGACCAGCGAGTAAAGCAAGCTTCTCATTAGCTCGATAATTTCCTCAACAAATGCAAATGTGGCTAATTAGGTTTTTTGTTCACTTTTGGCGCGTTTTAGGAAAAGGACATGCAAATGTAATCTTACTCGCACTTTCACAACAGGATGCAGAGCCCAGACGAGCCTCAGTTCTCAGTCAACCTCAGTCACTTCCCCCCAAACATAACAGCGCTCAATGTGACCACGCTGCTTGGACTTAATAGCTGTCTTCACATGTGCCTGAAAAACTACCAGGAAAATAAATAAATAAAACAAATTTTCATTACGTATTAACAAAGAAAACCGAATACCTAGTAATTGGAAGTATTTAACAATATTCTGCCATGTTTTGTTGTTAAACAAGTGGTTAGACTAAGCTTTTTGTTTCTTTCTTTCCTTTTGATAAGGCGAGTTAACAGCTCTTTATGTTTGGGTCCTTAGATATGTCTATGGAGTCACTCTCGGCTGCAGACGTTCAGAACTACTATGTGAAAATTAATGTGGCGTGAGAGGAAGAAAAACAAACCTAAATACTCGGTAAAACTTTTTTTTTGATACTATAAAAATATAAAACAATATTCGAGCGCTTATTCGAGCTGAAGCAAGAGGAGGCGCTAACGACACAGCTGCTGTTAATCCTTAATTAGGGAGATATTGCTCGTCTCTGCTCCTCTAAAGAAATTAACTTCTGGTACAAACTCACAAATAATTGTGTAAAATATATATAGCAATAGTTACATATTTGACTAAAAGTCTAATATGTAACTATCAAGCTATAAATGACTGATAAAAACTGTGTTTTTTTATTTAACTCCAACTTCTTTTATGTTGTTTCCATCATAGCACCTGTAGTACAGACTGTTTTACTGTGTTAGTCAAGTTAAAGTGGGGTTTTCAGGCTCTGTATACAGGAACCAGCATTTAGAGTCATGGCTACAGGTACAGTATATTATATTTATATAATATATAATATTTATATAAGATAATCTGAGCTGCATATTAATATCTAAAAATCTGTCCTGGCAATGGTTGACAAGGTTAATTTTTTTTTCTTTGTTCCTATATCATTTGAACAGTGTGGTGAGAAAGTATTTACTCCACTTGCAGTTATTGTGTGTTTGTCCCCCCCCCCGGCCCCCTCCCCACACACACACACACACACACACACACACACACACACACACACACACACACACACACACTTAAATATTTCAGATTGATATCAGATAACTTTAAGTTTTTTAACAACTTTGTAATTGAATTTTTTAGGTAAATGGTGCGGAATGAGCACAAAAATACTTTAATAGGACATGTAAGATAACTTTAAATAGGCTAAAAGATCTCAAACAGCAAAGCATCAGATCCTAAACTAAAGAAATTTAAGATGAGACAATCTCTGACATTTGTCAGTGTTTAAATGTGACACACACACTAATTTCAATGGAATAAATACTGAATAAATAAATCCTGGGTGAACCTTCCCAGGATTTCACTCTACCAAAATTGTTTTTCATCCAGGAGGTTCCAACATAACCAAGAAGAACATTTTAAACACTGGCCCAGATAAGGTCAGACGTTCTGATTCAACAATAAGAAGTTCGAAATTATGTGAGATTTCAGAGGTCAAAGCTAGACGGATGGTCAGACAGCCTCCAAAGAACTACAAGCCTTTAATCAGGCTATGAGCACTGACTTGTTTTGTAGACATTAAAACATTTAATATCGTCATTCTTTTCTTTTCTTTTTTTGTTAGTTGCCATGACTGTTGTTATTGGATTCGAAGGAAGCGCCAACAAGATTGGCATCGGCATCATAAGGGACGGTGAAGTCCTGTCTAACCCCAGACGGACGTACATCACACCGCCGGGCCAAGGCGAGCGCCGTTAACGCGTCTGACAAACCAGTCTCAGCCGATTCTTCTTTTTTATTAAACACTTTTTATTCTTCGCCTCAGGGTTCATGCCCAGTGACACGGCCAGGCATCATCGCGGAGTCATACTCACTGTCCTGAAGGAGGCGCTGGAGCAAGCGGGGCTGAAGCCGGCAGACATTGACTGTGTGGCGTACACTAAAGGTAGCAAAGATGATTTTCATTGATTACAGTAGAAAAACAACAAGCTAAAGCTACATAAATATATCTTTGTTTAGCTCTCATCAGCCCCTCTCTCTCCTTGTCCCTCAGGGCCTGGTATGGGAGCCCCTCTGGTCACGGTGGCCCTCGTAGCGCGCACCGTGGCCCAGCTGTGGGGGAAGCCCCTGCTGGGGGTCAACCACTGCATCGGACACATCGAGATGGGCCGACTCATAACCCAGGCCAACAACCCCACCGTGCTTTACGTCAGCGGGGGAAACACTCAGGTGGGCTTCCAGCCTCATCACTCTGGTGTTTTATAGCCGGTGTTCAGAATCAGCTGGTAACCAGCCAGTTCAGGATGATCCTCACTGAGAGCTGATGTCTGGAGTCTGATATCAGTGTTTAGAAGTGTTAGTATTTCCAGACTTCATCCGTTTTATCCTATTGATTAAATGTTGGGTTTCTTCATCCATCTTTTTTGTCCTTTCTCATGTTCTTCCTTTCCTTTTGTCTCATGTTTTTCCTTCCTTTATCTTTCTTTTATCCCCCTTGCTTATTTTTTTCCCGCATTATGTTTTTGCCTTCCTTGATTATGTCTTTCATCGTTCTCTTTTCTTCATTTTCCCTCCCTCATGTTCTTCTTTTCTTGCTTTTCTCTTGTTCTTCACTCATTTCCTTCGTACCTTTTTTTCATTCCTCCCTCTCTTATGTCTGTTTTTCTTTCTTTCCTTCCTTCCATCCTTCCTCAGTGTCTGTCCTTATTTTCCCTTTCCTGTGTCATTTCTCCTTTCTCTTTATTGCTTTCTTTCTTGTGTCCTTCCTTCCTCTCTTTTTCATCTTTGCTTCTTTTATGTCCTTCTTTCCTTTTCTCTTTAGGTTTTCCTTCCTGACTTTATCTGTTCTTTCCATTCCCAGAGTAAAGTCGACCCATCATAGTATATCTACCATACGTTCATAGAGAACCTCCTTTTGTTATCTGTTTAAAATTAATGTGACGGACTAAGAATTGTGGGAAGTGGAGTCTGGAAGTCTTACAGTGGTAATGTGTTTGCAGGTTATCGCTTACTTAGAGCGGCGCTACAGAATATTTGGGGAGACCATTGACATCGCGGTCGGCAATTGTTTGGACAGATTCGCCAGAGTTATCAAGGTGTGTGTTGGTGACATCGGCCATGTTTTTCTGTCTTACTGTGAACGACGTGGAGGTTAAAGCTCGTTCATGGAACTCTTCCTAGATTTCCAACGATCCCAGTCCAGGATACAACATAGAGCAGATGGCCAAAAAGTGAGTAGAACCCTGAAGAACGTTCAGCACACAGAGAGCCAGAAGGGAAACGCCATGCGTTCTCCTGTGTTTGTTACAGAGGAAGTCGGTACGTGGAGCTGCCGTACACGGTGAAGGGGATGGACGTGTCTTTTTCTGGGATTCTGTCCTTTATTGAGGTTAGTGGAGCACTTACACTTTTTGTTCTATTATAGCCTCGAACTAGAGTATTTAATGGGTTTTTTGTGATAAATCTGAAGAAAAAGATTATTAATCGGTATTTGCTGGAAAGTTGTTTGGTTATTGCTGAAGAAATTCAAGAAGTGTCTAAAGATTCTACATAGACGTTATCCTGTTATTAGTAAAATATGTAAATATCACCCAAATGTAGACCATCTGTGTTCCTTTTTCTTATAACTCTGAGAAAACCATCACTCATTTTTCCTGAGACTGAAAATATTTTGGAATTTTTTTTTTTTTTTTTACTCCTAAAAAAAAAATTAAAAAAACATGTACCGTTTAACTTTAAAACTATATTATGTGGCTTTTTCTGTATAAAGTCATTGTTATAAACTTAATATTAATTTTAGCAGAATTTAATGTCCGCAGCTGCAAATTTCTTAAGTGGAAACCCAAATTGAATGCCTTCTGTGCCTGTTTCTTCATATGTGTATTCTCTGAAGTATTGTACCAATGCTAAAGCTTTAAAAACTACTGCAATTTGCAAAGAATTTATCATGTAATCTGCCCTAATTTGCTGTATTTAACCTCTTCCTGTTTGTAATTTTTGCTTTTATACCTTCCTTAACCCTCGTCATTCTTTTAGTTACTGTTTATTTAACTTGTTTTACATATTGTAAATTAAAAAAAAAAAAGAAAGCGCTAAATTTCATTTAGAATAGCGGTTCTCTACGTTGGCGGTACCACCCCCCCAGGGGGCGTTCAGAGGACGGCAGGGGGCGCTGGCGGAAATTTTTACAAAAGGGGGGCGCTGGGATTCCTTTGGGGGGCGTTTGGTCAAAAGTAAACTTTACACCTTAAATGCACAACAATGCCAGTTTAGACTTTGAGCAACTTGGTAAAACTGTATTGTGTAACATTAAATCATGCTTGGCTGCAACTGTATTGATGGCAGCTCTTCTTCTCTTCAGTGTTTGTTAGCTTTTGGCGCAGCTCCTCTCCTGCTACTAGTAGCTTCACCGCATCAGTTCAGCGTTACACCGGCTGATGATGTTGCTGTGATT